TTTACAGAGTAAATTCACTTTTCATACAGCAGTTCACATATACTTTGTCTCATGTCATTGACCATGGGTGAAAGTTTACAGAACAATTTCATTTTCCATACAGCAGTTCATACACATTTTGTCTTATGACATTGACTGCAATTTCCCACAGTGTAACAGCTCTCTTCCCATTTCCTCCCCATAGTTATCTCTTCCCTGTGTCCTTCCTTCCCATACACTCCTGCCCCTGGGGGTCTCCCTGTGCATACACTACAGGGACATTTTTATGAAAAATAATACATTTCTGCTGAAACACTGCACAGAAATTTATAGACAGTCTTTGGTGTCACCCCCTGTGACAGTGGCACCTAGTGAGGTCCTCACTCCACGCCCCCCTAGAGCTCTGCTGCATTCAGAGAAGGCAGCCTCCATTCTTACGTCCTCCACTTTCTGCCCCAGGTTTATCCTGTTTTAAAAAATGTATATATATGTGTATATGTATATGGTATCTGGGACCTCTGGTAGCGTAGTGCCTAAGGCAACTGACTGCTAGCCAGAAGGCTGGTGGTTCAAACCCACCACTACTCCTCAGAAGGAAGGTTGGGCAATCTACTTCCGTAGTGATACCACCTGGGAAACCTAAGGAGGGGATGAGTCGGTTCCAACTTGATGGCCTGTAACAACAACAACAACATGTATATCTACTATCTATAAACACACAGACACATTTTTGATAAAATGATGAGTAGTTTTAATCTATAGCATGTTATGGTTGAAAACATTTATGCCCATTACCTGATTTGATCTTTTTTTTCTTAATTTTACTTGACTCGATCTTAACACATCCAAAAATAAAGCTGGATAGGAATAATCCTCATTTTACATAATAAAGAAAGGCCGTAGAGGTTAAGCAACTTGCTAAAGTAGCAGAGGCAATAGGTGGCAAAGAACAACATCTGTGAGGTAGGCACAGGTAGGAAACTGAGGCATGGAGCAGTATGTACCTAACCTGGAGTTGGTGACAGGCTTCAAACCCCAGTCTGACTTGAAAATCTGAGCTTTTAACCACCACACTTTTACCTCTCCCAGTCCTCATTGTAATTGGTAATCGCTTAATTTGTTACTTTACTTATTTATTGTGTCTCCTACTGTTGTTGTTAGGTACCGTTGAATTGGTTCCAACTCATAGAGACTTTATGTACAACAGAATGAATCACTTGTCTTGTGCCATCTCACAGTCCTTGCTATACTTGAGCCCATAGTTGCAGCCTGTGTCGATCCACAAAATTGATGGTCTTCCTCTTTCGCAGACCCTCCGCTTTACCAAGCACTATATTCTTCAGGACAGGTCCCTCGTAACATGTCCACAGTACATGAGATGAAAGCTCACCATCCTTACTTCTAAGGAGCATTCTGGCTGTGCCTTTTTTTAAAATTTATTTAATTGTTAAGAATATACACAGCAAAATCAACCATTTGTACGTGTGCAATTCACTGACAATGACTATGTATATATATATATGCTGCTGTTATATGCCGTCGAGTTGGCCCTGACTCATAGGGGCCCCTCCTTGGGTTTCTGAGGCAGTATCACTACGGAAGTAGGATTGCCCAACCTTCCTTTGGAGGAGTGGCTGGTGGGTTTGAACCACCAGCCTTCTGGTTAGCAGTCAAGTACCTTAGCCACTATACTACCAGAGCTCCCATATATATATTTATATTTT